AGCAGGACCTCTGTACTCCTCTCCATCCAAGGGAGTCAAGTTGTCCTGCTGACCCTTTGGGGACTTGTTAGCTTCCTTAACAGTAGGTGGGTTAAGGAACCAGGGCAAACAGGCCAGGGAGATAATGCTACTTAACCTTCAGTGTCCATGGCCCAGGGCCAATCTGGCATGCTACTCCATTAAAGGCCTAGGCCTCCTGCAGGGAGGAGGGCTGGAATGGACTGGGATCCTTGGCTTCTATGATAGAGTCCATATGCAAAGAGACACATAACTTCTTCAGAACACCCACAGAATGGATGGAAAACGGGAGATCCTAACTATGGCCCAAGAAGACAATGAGGTGAGAGGCAAAGTGGAAGACAGCATCTATCCACACAAGCCAAAGGGCAGGAATCAATCTCTGCTTGAGCAGCAGCTGGCTTCTCAGGTCACAGGCAGCAGGCAGTGTTCCTGTTCTCTCACTCTCACCTTCTGTTCTCCAGAGCTCTCCTTCCAAGGGATACCCTGGCTCCCATCATCCACTTGGCCTTGGGGCCCTGGTGTCTATCACTCCTTGGATCCAAAGGAGTTCACTGCCTCCTGAGCACCCAGCTCTGCTGAGTCATTTAGGGCTTCAGGATTCAGCCAGTGCTTGAATCAGCACCTGCTACAAATTGGCCTGGCTGGGAGGCCTCTAACCCGGCTGCCATCACACAGCTCTCCAGGGACCACAGCAGCGCTGTAGTGACACTCCCACTCCACATTACCACCCACTGCCCTGGGCACACTGGGGCCCCTCCCAAAGATGGAGTCTCCCAAGTTTCTGGTTTTTGCAGAGAAGCCCTCTGGGGCATAAGACAAGCTGCCAAGTATATCTTCAGGAAACAAAAGAGGTGAAAGGGCACACTCTGGAGTCTAGCACTTTGGACTACCATGCTCTGTCCTTGTCACTAGCTCTGTGACCATGCCTGGACTGCTGTGTCCTCAACTAGAGGTACTGACATAGATCCTAGGGATGGAAGAGATACAGTGAGATTCAGATGATGGTGACAGCATGTATGTATGTGTGTGGGGGGGGGGTGACTTGCTTTTGCATAATCGCCAAGTCTATGTATTTAAATCTGTGCCCAAATTACATGTCCAACCTCCTTCTTGTATGGCAGAAGACTGATGAGCAGGAAGGTAGGCGAGGAGACAGACAGAGGTTGCAGCTCATTATACTCTGTGTATGTGTGGTGTGCGCCCACGTGTGTGCAGGAGTGCAACCGTTAACATTCAAGGAGCTCGCTGTACAAAGCAGTTTCCCTTGCTCTGGTTCCAGCCCACCCTTTCTGCCTACAGTGTGGACCACACTGCACATGAGGGTAACTGAGGCCAGTCAAGCTGGGATACACTCACTCCCCAGCCCTGTGAAAGGACAGGCACATTTTATATTGGTGCTATTTTCCATTCAGAAATGTTTCCTAGGGAAAATTATCGATTATTTACAAAGACTGACACACAGTACTGATTACTGTCACATCTTATAGCCAATGACTGGAATTCACCTATGTCTGATAACTTACCACACCCACTCTGTAAAACAGTAATAAAGAAACAATAAATAAGACACAAAAGTGTGAAAACATGAGAAAGACGCACTGGGATAACAGTCAAATGATGACAGCAAAACATAAGATTTACTCTAGATGGTCCCAACGGGTGCTGTCCCACAGAAGTACCAGAGAGCAGCACACTTACATTGCAATTTGAGCAGTCACCTTGGAAAAGACAAAAAAACAAAAAACAAACAAACAACAACAACAACAAAATCATCACACACACACACACACACACACACACACACACAAAACAAAACAAAACAAAACAGCCAAGCAGGAACAGGGTGATGTGTGTCTATAATCCGGCATTTGGGAGGGAAAGGCAGGAGGACCACCTCACATCTGAGGCCACCCTGCTGATCTAGGTACAGGGTTCCAGAACAGCCTGAGCTATATAGCAAGACCCGGTCTCAAACCAACCAACCAACCAATCCACCACACCCAATGACAGAGGAGATTAATTTTAGTAATGTTATAAATCCTCATATGTCCAAAAAAGACTGTTCCCACAACATGTGGCAGATGGGAAACGTCACACACACAAGGTAACTGTATACTTTCTTTGGTACCCAGGCTTCAGATTACAGCTCTCATCTCTAAAGGAACAGCTACAGCCACATGAGACCAGTGACTCCCTGCCTGGCTGGCTGGTCCTGACCCCCTGAAAATGTTATAAAGATTTTTATATTCGGAGAAAGGATCAAAATGTCAAAGAGTTGTTTTGTTTTCCTCTGTTCCTGAGTGGCAGGGCTCTGCATGACATTCTTCCCTGTTCTTTGTTTTCCTCAGTGCCCGCACAGAATGGATTTAACTTTAAGCACTATCAAGGATCAGTTTTTCACATTTTAGAATAAACGTAGATTTTAAGCACAGCTTCCACGCAGTTGCTTATGGTAGCTCCATGAGTGCTGCCCTGGTCCCTGATACACTCAAGTTGGTTAAGCGGTAAATTGTGGGTGGGTAGGATGGGTGTATGGAAAGATGGACTGAAGAAGAAAGACAACACAGCTCAGCAGTGGGGAGAGTAAGCTGAGCCTGGACTCTTGTTTCCCAATCCCCTGACTGCCACTTGCCAGCTGTGTGTCCTTGAATATAAGACAGAAGGATGGCAAAACCCTCTTTATAGAACTCTGAGCAGAGTAAGAGAACAATTTCATTTGCCTTTATTATGTGGATGAGTGTTTTGTTTGCATGTATGTGTGTGCACCACATGCTTGCTTAGTGGCTGTGCAGGCCGGAAGAGAGCATTTGATCCCCTGGAACTGAAGTTATGGACGGCTGTGAGCCACTGTGTGGGTACTGGGTCCTGGTACTGAACCCAGGCCCTCTGCAAGAGCAATAACTACTCTTAACCTCTGAGCCATCTCTCGAGCTCCAAGGTTACAGTATCAGTGTTAAACACAATGTCTGCCATAGAGCCAAGGATTCCAGAAAAGAAGGTCCTTGTCATGTGATCAGATGAATGACCGGTGTGGTCAGGCTGTCTCAGTTTATGAGGCAATGGCACCTGGAGTACTTGCTGTGGCCACAGGTACTTTGGGTTCCTATTGGATGTTGCTGTGGGGTTCCCCAAACCCCACACCATCCTCTCCCCCTCCCAAGAACAGAGTATGGAGCCCCTATATCTTAGCCATAAGAGCCTCATTCTCAGGTTTGGATGTGGCCCCTGCTTGTCCCCTCTTGCCTGTCCCTGGCCTGGGTCCTGCTGCATACCTGCACCACCTCAGGCCTCACGTTAAAGATGTACAACCAGTCACTGAAGCGCGGGTAGCTGTTGAGCTCGGCAGTCCTGTCGCTGGGGGTCACGCTCAGCTTACACTGCCGCTGCTTGCAGATGTACCGCACCAGCTTTGCCTGTGGGAAGTCCAGGAAAGAAAAGGTTACCTTCATGGGTAACAGAAGCATGTAGCAGCCACGTGCCCTCTGGAGAGCTAATATCAGGGATGTGCTGAGAACAGGATCCAGCAAGGGGTGGGGAAACCCCTTGCTATCATGCATGGTGCAGAAAGGCTACAAATGGGGAGAGGAGTTTGGATGGTCTGGTTGCAAGCATGGAGCCCACATCTTCACTGAGGCTGGCCAACTATGCTGCCTTCAAAACCAGCTCCTCAACAGTAAAGGTCATGACTATTCAGAACAGCAGCCAGCTAAACAGAAGCCAGCCTTCCTGCTTGTTGCACAAATACGGATAATCGATAACAAGGAAAGAGGGGAGGTTTGCAAAGATGGGGCAACCTTCCAGCTGTGATTCAGACAGCCTGGATTGGGGCGGAAGCTCTCCCCTGGCTCTGTGATGCTGGGCAAGTTACTTATTCTTCCCCGACCCACACACACACACACACACACACCCCACACACACCCACACCACACACACACCCCACACACACACCCCACACACACACACACACACACACACACACACACACACACACACACTGATGATAAAAAGAGATGCTTCCTCAGACAGTTGAAGAGACAGCCAGCTCATAACTATATAGAAAGCACCCAACTTTCTAGGGACAGTGGGGCAGGGACAGTGTTGGTAACAGCCCTTGACACAGACTATTGGCGATATACACCCCAAGAATGATGGCAAATTCCAGACCCAAGGGAAGAATGTCCAAAGCTTTCAAAAAACTCAAGCAAGATAAGTTTGAACAAGAACAGACTGACCCAGGTCAAGCACAGAGCTCTAACCAGCACTGAGGAACACAAGGGCAGAGGCAAGACACACAAGGAGGGCACAGCTCAGACAAGCTTCAAGCTTGAAAAGGAGGATCCTTCTGCTGAGGCTACCCAGCAGGCTCCAACACACAGGAGTATGGCACCATTCAGAGAGCCAACGAGAGCAGCGACCTGGTTTGGCTAAGCCCGTGGCTCCACTGCCTATGAGACAGACTCTGAGGCCAGATTCTAGTCCTATTGTAACTCTTAGTGTCCCCAAAAGGAAAGTATCACTTAAAAACCAGACCCTGACACTCAGAAACACTCAGGTCCAGAGGGGTTGGCTGTCTAGGTAATACATCCCTTTCCCATCACCTGTAAAGATCTCAGCGTGTTTCTCAGAGTCTGATGACATTTGTTATCTTGTTAACATATATCCTAAAAACTAGTAAATATCGGCTGGCCAGATGGCTCAGTGGGTAAAAGCATTTTTGTCACCAAGACTGATAAACTAACCAAGTTTGACCTCTGGATCCCACACGAAGGAAGAAGGGAACAAACTTATCCTTTGACCTTCATGTGTGAGCTATGGAGCATGTGCTTCCACATGTGTGCACGTGTGTGTGTGTGTGCGCGCGCACACACACACACACACACAATCTACAGAGAGTAAATAAACGTTTTTTAAGATAGAGAACAATTAAAGAAAATATCTGACATCAACTCTTACTTCCACATGCACATGCCCAAATGCCCACACACACACATGAACACATAAACACATGTGCCCACATACACACACATGAACACATACACACATGTGCCCACATACACACACATGAATACATAAACACATGTGCCCACATGCCCACATACACACACATGGATACATACACACATGTGCTCACATACACACACATGAACACATACACACATGTGCTCACACACACACACATGAACACATACACACATGTGCCCCCCCACACACATGAACACATACACACATGTGCCCACATACACACACATGAACACATACACACATGTGCTCACATACATACACATGAATGCATACGTACACATGCCTGTAGTAGCATCTCACCTTCGCCAGTGAATTTGTGTTAGTGGCCACACCCCTTTGGGCATAGCTTCAGGTGCTGCAGTGACCAGAAGCGCTGAGGGGTGGGGGTTGGGGGAGGAGACACGGGACGACCACTCTCGCTTCTGAAAGCTTCAGAAGGGCAGAGACTGCATCTTCTGGAGCAAGAATGCCACAGTGGTTCTTTACTATTATCTGTGTAGGTTGTTCCCCAATAAAACACCCATTTATCATTTATCTTGGGTCTGGTGAACTCATTAATACCCCGCCTTCATGTGCCCCCCCCCACATACCCGTGAACACATATACAAACACGGCCACACGAACACATAGACAAACATTTTTTAAAAATATAGTTTGACGGGGCTGGAGAGATGGCTCAGAGGTTCAGAGCACTGACTGCTCTTCCAGAGGTCCTGAGTTCCATTCCCAGCAACCACATGGTGGCTCACAACCATCTGTTATGAGATCTGGTGCCCTCTTCTGGTGTGCAGATATACGTGGAAGCAGAATGTTGTATATATAATAAATAAATAAAATCTTAAAAAATTATATAGTTTGACTCCACCATTAATTTAAAAAAGATCCTCTCCCCATCCATCTGAGAGTTACTGGTGTTCTCATAAGACCCCAAATCATGCTAACCAGTGTCAGGAGGGTTAGTCCCAACTGGCATCACTGGTAGTAGGGAAGCAAAATCAAAATAATCCACTCAGGTATACAGTTAGGATGCTTGGTGAAAGTGCTGGCACAGGTGAGCCCAGGATATTCTGTACCCTGTTCTGATGCCCAGGGCAGACAGTACTAATCACACTCTTCATTGAGCCCAGGATATTCCTGCACCCTGTTCTATGCCCAGGGCAGACAGTACTAATCACACTCTTTGTTGATTAGCCTCCCAACCCCTGGTCTATTTGCTATCCTACCAGGAAGGAAACCTAAGATCCTGAGAACATCTTCAGGACAAAGTTCACAAATGCCATTGCACAGATACCACTTTTACTGTGCAGACCTAAGTAGGGGCACGCCCATCCTTCCCTTAGGCTTGGATCCATTCTTTATAGTATGAGCAGAGGCAAACTCTAAAATCAGAGCCCCAAACTCCTTCCCTAGCTCGTCCCCACAGCCCCCTGCCCTGCGACCCTCCTGGCTCCCTCAGCCGGCAGCCGAATACTGGCATCCCAGATGAACAGGTCCTGGTTCAAATCTGCCACTTACTGGTTGGTAACCTCAAGGAAGCTCATTCCTTTCTCTGCGTCTTCACTCCTCTAGGCCACAAAGGACTAGCTCACACTGAACTAGGATGCAGAACCCCCACAAGTAACTCATTAGGTCCCCCAACACTGCATGAAGGCAGGGCCTGTGTCTCTCTCACTCACTTCTGCCCCCTTGTGTCTCTGA